TCACAGTTTCAGTGGTTTACCTACCTGCTCATTGAACCTGAAACCTCTCTACAAAGACTTTCAGTTCCATACATGCCTATTAGTATTCCAAGGTAATATTTCTGAACTCGGCTGCGAAAACTTTAAACAGGAATTAAAGTGCAGTAAACTTCTTGATATGTCCTGCATTTGAGTGCATTTAGGCAACCTTGACTGAATTATCTGGTTGCTATGAATTCGGGAGACAGTAGGTACTGTACACGAGACCCTCTCCCAGTAAGAAATCATGCTGGGAAGCCATGAACAGGCCTTAAGACAACTCATAGAATTGCAACAAAATAATCAGCAGCAAATTTGACAAATTACAGGTATGAGCCAATGCACCAACATTAACCAAAGCACTTGCTTCCCCCAACAACAGCAACTGTTCCCACTTACTAATGGAAACCTCCATTTACATCTAGTACACCTCGAAAACCCTCCATGCCACATCCAGAGTCCTTCAGTGTTGAGCTGGAAAAATATAAAGAATTCATCTTTGCTCATTTGTTTAAAGATTATGCTTTAAATTATTCCAAGTCTATGTTGTAAGTTTAGAGAAAGAGCTTTGAATTGGGCCAAAGCTAAAATTAACAAAGAACCGAGCAGTGACTTACACTAGGTTTGTAAGGATTTCTGATTCAATTCAATTTTAATTTTACTTATACAGCGCCAAATCACAACATCAGTCGCCTCAAGGCGCTTTAGCACTTAACATAACTAAGGGAGGATTCAGGGTCACCTGATCCAGCCCTAACTATATGCTTTAGCAAAAAGGAAAGTTTTAAGCCTAATCTTGAAAGTAGAGATAGTGTCTATCTCCTGAATCCAAACTGGAAGCTGGTTCCACAGAAGAGGGGCCTGAAAACTGAAGGCTCTGCCTCCCATTCTACTTTTAAATACTCTAGGAACAACAAGTAGGCCTGCAGAGCGAGAGCGAAGTGCTCTAATAGGGTGATATGGTACTATAAGGTCATTAAGATAAGATGGGGCCTGATTATTTAAGACCTTGTATGTTAGGAACAGGATTTTGAATTCAATTCTGGATTTAACAGGAACCAGTGAAGGGAAGCCAATACAAGAGAAATCTGCTCTCTCTTTCTAGTCCCTGTCAGTACTCTTGCTGCAGCATTTTGGATTAGCTGAAGGCTTTTCAGTGAGTTTTTAGGACTTCATGATAATAATGAATTACATTAGTCCAGCCTGGAAGTAATAAATGCATGAACTAGTTTTTCGGCGTCACTCTGAGACAGGATATTTCTCATTTTAGAGATGTTGCGCAAATGGAAGAAAGCAGTCTTACATATTTGTTTAATATGTGCATTGAAGGACATATCCTGGTTAAAAATGACTCCAAGGTTCTTCACAGCGTTACTGGAGGCCAAGGTAATGCCATCCAGAGTAAGAATCTGGTTAGATACCATATTTCTAAGCTTTTCAGGGCCGAGTACAATAACCTCAGTTTAATCTGAATTAAGAAGCAGAAAGTTAGCAGCCATCCAGGTCTTTATGTCTTTAAGACATTCCTGCTGTTTAAATCAGCCTATAATTCCAGATGACGCCTCCTGCAAGCTTTTGCACAGTGCACAGTGCACCAGACTACTTTTCATATTTCTGACTTACCTTTTCCCAAATGTGGGGAGCACAGTGTACTGAGTGTACTGTTTCAGCAAAGTCTAAATGATCAAACAAGGGAACTTACCTCTAAACATAAAACCAACACTGCTTATTCTTCCATCTCTTAAATCATAAAAATAGATAACTGTCTAAGGGAATGAAGAGCGTAAAAGGATATATTTCAAAGTGAGGGCGCTCCTTATTTCTGGTCCTGGAGTCTAGAAAACTGGAGACATGCAAATAGGAAGGTAAGCAAACACCCATGTCTGAGTTGGCCCCTAAGTCAATGGGTGGGCCTTGTTATATCAGGATTTTGTTGGGACAACTTTTATGTAGAATTAGAGCCACTGTCTGCTTACGATGATGATTATGTACATAAAAGTGAGCTAGGCCTTTAAGATAACAGTAAATAAACCATTACTTAAAAAACTCACTTGACACAGCTATCTTAGCTAATTATAGGCCAATCTCCAGCCTTCCTTTTATCTAAAAAAATCTGGAAAGAGTAGTTGTAAAAGTGTTAACTGATGATCTGTAGAGGAATGGCTTATTTGAAGAATTTCAGTCAGGTTTAAGAACTCATCACAACACAGAAACAGCTTTAGTGAAGGTGATGTTCTTAAGGCCATTGTCATTAGGTCATTTGATTGTTGGGGTTTCCTCTCTGTTATTGTAGGGTCTTTACCATGTAATATAAAGTGTCTTAAGGGAACTGTTGTTATGATTTGGTGCTATACAAAGAAATCTGAATTAAGTAGTTCAATAACCAACAAAGCCCAGTACATTGCAAAATATGTAAGAAAACTGTTCTCCCTAATAGTGGAAACAAACTTGTTTTAGAAAGTGTACTTTAGAAAGTGTACTTTATTGGTCCCCGTGGGGAAAATCCCTCTCTGCATTTAACCCATTCACTCAGTGAAGCAGTGGGCAGCCACTGGGCGCCCGGGGAGCAGTGTGTAGGGACGGTACCTTGCCCAGGGGTACCTCAGGGTAGCTGTTCAGGGGAATCGAACCTTCCGATCATGGGGCCACCACTCTACCTACTGAGCTATCCCTGTTTTACCACTTGAGTCAATAATATGGTTGAGTACAAAAACAGATGTGTACTACAACGTGATATTCATATCTCAGTGAGCTGCGTCAAGCTTAAAATCTGCATTTTCTGTTTCACGACAGTGGCTCTCTTAGCTATACCACTGTGGTAACTAATGGTGAATACATAACATGGTTGAGAGCAAGTAAAGTTTTATTTGTATAGCACATTTCAAGATAAGCATCTCTAATTGTTTCACACTAAAATGCTAGAAGATAAAAACAAAAGTTAACAAAAAGCAAGTGAAAAAAGATGACTTTTTGGGTGTTTTTATAAAAGAGACCACAAGATCCACAGATCTCAAGCTCAGAAGGAGAAAGTTCCAAAGTCTGGGGGTCACTGTTGCAAAAGCTCTGTCTCCTTTAGTTTTCAGCCTCATGTGAAGCACAGTCAGCAGGCCCTGATACCTCAGGGACCTGTATGTGACAAGAAGGATTTAAAATTTGAGTCTAAATTTACCAGGAAGCAAATAAAGAGAAGACAATATAAATTTTAAAGCTTTTAGATCATCCCGATAAGAAAGAATAGCAGTAGTCCAGTCTAGAAGTAATAAATACATAAACTAGGAGCCTCATTTCACTTCTCACTTCTGCTTAGCCCTAGGTACCCAGGTGAGCCCGTCTTCTGGCTATTAACCACAGGCTAATGGACAAACAGGGTCAATCAGGAGCGGAAGCAGCACTTCAGTGTGTAATAGCCACTAACCCTGCTTCTTAGTGCAGTATGCAGGTAATTCTTTGATATGATCAGGTTATAAACCACAGTGGTTTTACTTTATTCAACTCACAAAACCCTGACAGAAAAAAATGTAACCGTTGGCTGGATACACTTAACAAAACCTAGCCAAAAAATCCAAATAACCACCCAAAGATGCCCTTACTGAGGGAACAATTAGTTTTCTTAACCAGCTTGTTGGCTGTGGGGCAATAACAATAGCAAAGTCTTACAGCCAGATGACTGAGGTGGAGGATTCCTGAAACAAACCTAACTTGTGACAGTAAAGATGGGGATGTCCTGGAAGAAAGGCACACCTAACACAACTTGCAGGACTTAACCTCGTAATATTCAACACTATACCAGCCAATCACTGAGGTCCAAGGTTACGGTTAGAATGCATCACAGTCAGACATCAAGACTCTGAATCATGACTGTAAAGATATACTGTTTTTTTGATTAATCTGATATGTCTTAAAAAACCCTAATTCCAAAAAAGTTGGGATGCTGGAAATTGTTAATAAATCAGAATGCAAGGATTTTCAAAATTAATGAACCCATTTTTATTCACATATAGAAAACCTATTTATTCAAAACAGAAATTGAAAACATTAAATGTTATAACTGAGAAAATGCACCATATTAAGAAAAATATTAGCTAATTTTAAATTTGATGTCAGAACACATCTCAAATGTTGGGACAGATCTGGGAACTGATGGAAGAAGTTGCTGGACTTAAAAATGCAACTTTTAAAATGTATTCCACTACAGATTACAGATTACATGCCCCAAAATGTATTTTGTAACGTATTCCGTTATGTTACTCAGTGAGAGTAACGTATTCTGAATACTTTGGATTACTTAATATATTATCATGCTTTTTACAACTACATGAATGTACTATTGCTGTGTGATTTATTACTTTTACTGAAGGTTATTCGCCATACCACTACCAACTAGAGGTTTACACCTTAATATAAATGAGTAACAGTAGGGTGGACATTAGGTAAGGCTGCACTTTTGCAGCGATCGTGTATAGAAAACTATTTTGTGTGTATATAAAACAGGGACCTCTGGCTAATACGTCGGGTTCGTAGCCGAAAACTAGCTTTACTTTGTTGTCTGGGTCAACTTTGCTAGTGAGAGACAGAGAGAGGCGTTGAAAGGCTGCTTATTGTTTTGGAGGAAAACACAAACACAGTGTACAGTCGAGTCTTAATAGCTTACTTACAACTGGGCTACACTGCCCATGAGGCTACATTCTTTAGAGATATGCCTGTAACACTGCCTATTGACTTCATATTAAATCATTTTTTGAACAATAATTAGAAAAACTATTTCTTCACGTCATTATGCGGGCCGCAAGCAGAGGTAACATGGGCCGCAAGATTGAGACACAGGCATTAGAGCCTCTTAATGCCTGTTTTGTTTGGGTTTCCACCGGTGTTAGAGCATAGGCGAACATATGAAACAGGAAAATACTGCAGTGTAATCCATTTATTTCAACAAAGTAACTGTATTCTGAATATCACCTTTTTAAACTGTAACTGTAACGGAATACAGTTACTCATATTTTGTATTTTAATTAAGTAACGCCAGTACATGTATTCCGTTACTCCCCAACACTGCCTTTATATACCTTTTGCAATTGATGATGCCTTTCCAGATGTGGAACCTATCAATTCCACAGGTGCTAATATACCTCCATGCTATCAGACATGCATGCTTTTGACATGTGTGCTGATAACAATCTGTATGATCCATCTCCTCTTTGGTCTGGAGGATGCATTCTCCATGTTTTTCAAAAAGAATTTCAGATTTTGATTTGTCTGACTACAGAATGGTTTTCTGGTTTGTCAGTCTATTTAGTCCATTTTAAATGAATTTGGTCCAGAAGATGATGCTCATATATGGGGGCTTCTTTATATGACAACATTTTAATCTGCACAACAGACGGTCTTCACAGACAATCATTTCTGAAAGCACTCCCGAACCCCTATCAGTTTTCCATTACAGAATCAGTTTTTGTTTGGTTTTTATAGGCCTGAATATCACAAGCATTCAATATAGATTTTTGGTCTTGTTCCTTGTATACAGAGATTTCTCGAGATTTCTAGACTCTTCTGATGTTATTATGTACTGTAGATGACAAGATACTGTATTTCAAGTCATTGTATGTCCTGCAACAAAAGGTTTCCATGAAATCATCAATTTGTAGTCATAGTGTTTTTGCAGACTGGTGAACCTCTTCCCAACATTGCTTTATTTTTTATATTATTTATATTTTATATTTTTTAAAAGTCATGTTGCAGACCTGTGGCTAGTTTGTCAAGCTATTACTTTTTAGTACCACTTACATTTTTAGCCTTTCGTTGTCCCCACCCAAATCTTTTGAGATGTGTTGCTTATATTAAATTTAAAATAAGCTAATATTTTCTTAAAATGGTACATTTCCTAAGTTCAGACATTTCATAGGTTTTCTATTTTGAAGCATATCCCGTCTGTCATAGGTCAGGAGATGGCCTATAGTCCTTTTAAGATTACAGCTAGGTTTGTTTAAGCTAAGATTTTTTTTTCTCATCCTGTTCCTTTTGGAAACTTGCAGGAAGGAACACTGTTGAAAAAAAATGGAGCATAAACTCTTCATATCAAACCAAGTTTTGTGTTCACATCCACATTTTCACTACATGCAAGAAATCCATCTTCTCCATTTATTTCAATGTAGTTTCCAGCAACAGCTAGCAGCAAAACAGTTAAAGGTTTCAAAGGTTTACAGCAATGCACAGCTAAGTCATGCTGCAGCTCACATGCACACACTGCTTCTATATTATTTTATAACTTGAACAAGCAAACCCAGCTGTTTACCTCATGTTTGTTTCGACAAAATTCTGAGAAGTCCTCCTTTTTGAAATCTGATAACCCGCTGTTGGAATCTCATGTATTTTGCAGTATTTTTTGTGACCTTTCCTAAATCATTATCAGATATTGATATACTACATATTGATACCTTTAAACCAACCCAAAATGTTGCTTACAGGACAAAAAGTCTGAGATTCAACTCTTGCTTGTGTGAGACGTTATCCAAACATTCTGGAAAAAGGGCCATGGAAAAAAGTGAGAAACAAGATCAGGAGAATCCTTGTCCTTTTTTGTGACATGTACTGTGCACTATAAATTTATGACAATGTAAACGTGGAGTTCTACTGGAATGTGCTGAGACACTGGATGGAGAAGGAAAACACAAAAAATAGCAGCCGCAAGTGAGTCCATCTGGATAAGGGTGAAAAGAATAGGGTAAGAATTTTCATTCCTAAGAACTTTTTGATGATTCCTCAAGCATAACATAATACTGTTAGAGTGGGCATCATTAGCCTCATTCTCCTCTCCTAGATCAATAAATTTATCCTGCTGACCTAGTACCTGCACTTTAAAAAGGTTGGAAGTTGATGGTGTCCACAAATGTTTTATGGCATCGGTGCACTGATCCTTCATCTTCTCTCTTCAGAGGCCCGAGAAGCTTAATTCTCCACTTCTGCTTCTTCTAACAAATGTGTTTCTGCCTCCACAGTTGTGTTTGTCGCATCAGTCTAGTAAACCACTCCAAGGACCTTCTTCATGTGCTCGTAGACCACATAGGAGATGCTGACAGCAGGAATAACTTTGAGGAAGTTGGGCGTGATGCCTCGGTACAGACCTGGCACACCTTCATGAGATATGATGTATTTGAACTGACCCACCATGGTCAGCTTGGGTTTACCCTCAGTAATGGCTGAAAGTAAAAATGAGAACAATGTAAGCTACAGAGAGTAATATATGGACAGACTTATTGCTAAATTGTTCCAATGTTTTGTAGGCCTACAACTGCCTACAATCTATCATTTACATCATATCGCACCCTGTGCCTGCATGCGAGTCCGGATGAGAGCGAGGGGATATGACGCTAGCTGGCCACAGGTGCTGGAGACAGTACCACAGCCCAGCAGGACCAAAACTCCTGGGTCTGCTGAGTTGACACAGTACCTCTGGAGCCAGGCATTCTTCAGGGTCTTAAAGCATGAGCAGTGAAAAATGTTAAGACACTAATAGAGGAGAGCAGTTAAAAGTTAAAAGAAAGAGGAAGAGAAAAAGGAAGGGGAAAGAAATGAACTGAAACGCATACACTGACAACCACTTTGTTAGATAGTCTGTTTAGCTGCTCAATAATGCAAATATGTAATCAGCCAAATATGTCAGGAACACATGGTCAAGATGACCTGTTGAAATTCAGGATGGGGCAGAATGGGGAATTAAGTACTGAATGTGGCATGGTTGTTAGTGCAAGATGGTATGGGGTGGGTTTCTTTAGAATCTACTGGGAGTTTTCTGCACAAAAATCTCTAGGGTTTACAGAGAAGTTAAGTGAGTAAGTGTTACTTCTCTGGGCAAAAATACAATCTGTCTGCCAGAAGTCAAACAAGAATGAGTAGATCAGAAGACAACAATAACTCAAATGACCACCTGTTATATCTACATTATGCGTGCGTGGGAGTACAGTGTTCAGGTGTGGAATCCAAATGCAAGTGGTGAGTATGAGAGATCAAATGGAAAATATTAGGAGCAGAAGGAGAACACAGGTTAGCAATGCATGGAAACAGCAAAACATAGACAACTGAGGTGGCCTGTACTAACAGAGGTTAGCAGAAGAACCGGGTAAGGACAGTTGACAATGCTGGCTTTAAATACCACTGGCTGATTGCTTCAAATCACGAACAGGTGCGGTGAGCTGATGAGGAATCTGCCCAGAGGCGGTGCCATAACCACACATGGCGAGACTCAGCTGGCCCATGAAAGGAACAAACATGCTAATGCTTCTGATCTGAAGTAACTCTTTATACACAGAGAGTGTACAGAAAGCAGTAGTCAAAGTCAAAGTCAAAGTCAACTTTATTTGTCAATTCTGCCACATGTACAGGACATACAGAGAATAGAAATTTCGTTACTCTCAAACCCTAGATGAAATAGCAATGAACATTTAAATATAAGAGAGTGATTAAAAAATGCAAATAAAATAATTAAAAAGTAAAAATTTAAATAAATACAATACAAATTAACAAGAAAGCTATACAATATACAATATACAGTATTCAGGTAAGGGTAAATGACATTGAGTGTAAACCAGGCAGAGTAGTGCTGTGGCCAAACGTTTAGAGAATGAGAAGTGTTGTTTGCTTATTTACAAAGTTTGCTGTTTCAGTGATAGTTGTATATCATATTATATCACTTCAAACAGAGGTGATCCAGTAATGCTGCACTAATGAATTAGACTAACTATTCACTTTAGCTAAAGTTATTAAGTTAGCTAAAGAGTTGGGATGCTGTGTAAGACATAAAGCTAAAATACAAAGGTTTGGGCACCGTTTTGCATGTTTCCCTACTGTAGGGGTCTCTGTAAGCATACAGAGGGGGTACTCTGAGAGGGTCCAAGATGACAACTTTGGAATTCTACTAGAAACAGTCGATCATATTTGTTGTCAAAGCTGAATTCAGGGCAAACTACGCTAAATTAGCGTTTTTAGCTAGCAGCTACAATAAGCATAAAAGTTACCGTACGGCTATCATTTGTTAACATGACGCTTGTTCTTATACATGTAATACATTTATTACCAACCTGAGAGTTTATCCGCTGGTCATTCGACATGACGAATGACTTCTGAAGTCTTAATTCAGCTCAAGACGCTGTAGATTCCCGTCAGTAACACTTTCGGTCCGCTAGTAAAACGTAGTTCTATTAATCTGCGCTTGAACCGGAACCGGATCTAAGTTCCAAAAAACTGAATTTTGGAACTGAAATTGAATTGTAGAACTGAAACTGAATGGTGAGAAGTGAAACTGAAAGTATTCGAGAGCTGAATTTTTAAAGGATAAAATGCAGTTTCAAAGCAAATCAATTCATTTTCAAAATATAAAATTCAATTTCAATTTAGTGATGATCATTTTCAAACCATAAATTCAATTTTAAATTAGACTAATTCAAATTCAGTTTTCAAAAGCATTTATTCAAGTTACAATTCAGATTCAATCTGAGCAATTCAAATTCAAATTTAACTTATTCAAATTCAGTTTCTGATGGCACAGATTTCTGCCCATAGTTGAGCCCCAGCTGGACCAGTTTTTGAGTGAGCTGTTGGGGGATTATAGTGTTGAATGCTGAACTGAAATCTATGAACAGCATTCGAACATATGAGTCTTTTTTGTCCAGGTGTGTGAGTGCTGAGTGGAGTGCAGTGGAGATGGCATCATCGGTTGAGCGGTTGGGCCGATACGCAAACTGGAAGGGATCCAGGGAGGGGGGCAGGACAGTCTTGATGTGTTTCATGACTAGTCGTTCGAAGCACTTCATCAGGATGGGAGTAAGTGCAACAGGACGGTAGTCATTAAAGCAGGAGGGAGATGACTTTTTTGGAACCGGAATGATTGTGGTGGCTTTAAAACATGTGGGGACGACAGCCTGGATGAGTGATATGTTGAAGATGTCTGTGAAGACATCAGTGAGTTCCACTGCACAGTCTCTCAGTACACGACCAGGAATGTTGTCAGGACCCGGAGCTTTTCGTGCATTGATCCTGCTGAGGGATCTCCTCACGCTGTCCAGGGACAGAGTCATCACCTGGTCACCAGGAGGGGGTGGGGTCTTCTGTGCAGTGGTGTTGTTTTGGACTTCAAAGCGAGCAAAGAAAGTATTCAGCTCGTTCAGCAGGGGGATAGTGCTATCACAGGTCTGTGGTGGGGGCTTGTAATCTGTGATGGTCTGAATGCCCCGCCACAGGCTCCGTGAGTCTCTGCTGTCTTTGAAGTGATGAGATATTTTCCTGGAGTACTGTCTCTTAGCCTCTCTGATGCCACGGGAAAGGTTGGCCCTAGCTGTCCTCAGGCTCGCCTCGTCTCCATCTCTGAAGGCAACATTCCGAGCTTTCAGCAGCCTGTAGACCTCTCCTGTCATCCATGGTTTTTAATTTGCCCGGACAGTTATGGTTTTCGTGACTGTTACATCCTCAATACACTTGTTGATGTAGGCAGTAACAGTCTCTGCGTACTCCTGGAGGTCAGTGGTGTTGTTATAGGTGGCAGCCTGCTTAAACATGTCCCAGTCTGTGGTGTTAAAGCAGTCCTGTAAAGCCTCTGAAGACCCTTCTGGCCACACTTGTATCCGCTTACGAACCGGTTTGGTGGTTTTAACGAGCGGTCTGTAAGCAGGCATTAGCATGACAGTGATATGGTCTGAGGCGCCGAGGTGGGGGAGGGGAAAAGCTTTGTAGGCTCCTCTCTGGGTGGTGTAAACAAAGTCCAGTGTGTTATTTCCCCTTGTTGGAAAGTCTATGTGTTGTTGTATTTTTGGAAACACGCACTTTAAGTCTGCATGATTGAAATCCCCAGCCAGGATGAGAAAAGCATCAGGATGGGCTGTCTGTTGCTCACTGATGTGCTGGTACAGTTCATTCAGTGCCTCACTCCTGTTGTTGACATTGGAGGAGGGAGGGATGTACACAGCGCACAGTAGTATGGCTGTATATTCCCTCGGTAGATAGAATGGCCGGCACTTAATAACCATAAACTCCAGCACTGGTGAGCAGTGTTTGCAGACCGCAGCAGCATCGCGACACCAGGCATCATTGATGTAAACACAAAGTCCTCCCCCGCGGGTCTTACCTCCCGCGACGATGACTCTGTCAGCACGGTAGCATGTTAGCTGGTCGAGCTGAATGGCGCGGTCCGGGACACTGTCGCTAAGCCATGTTTCCGTGAACACAAAAGCACAGCAGTCCTTTACGTTCCTTTGAGATGAACGTAGCAGTCGGATGTCGTCCAGTTCATTTTCTAGCGAGCGTACGTTGGCCAGAACGATAGAGGGGATGGCGGGTTTGTGTGGGCTAGCCGCTAGCCTAGCTCGGATGCCACCGCGCTTACCCCTCTTCTGCTTCCTCTCACACCGCTTGAGGCGCATCCATTGTGGGCGAAGTGCAGGAGTGGGGGTCGGTGATTGAGTAGGCCTTCGGAGCAGACCCAGATCTTTCAGCTTCTCGATGTCCACAGAGTTTAACTTAAAAAGTTTGTTTCTGCCGATGTCGAGAAGAAGTGTTCGGGCATATCCTCGCTTGCACACAGATAGACGCGACAAAGACTTACAAAAACACTGCAACTTACAGGACGAAAAACACGAAAAAGTAGTTTGTTTGGGAGAGAGAGAAGCCGCTGCGTGTGCACGCGCCGCCATGTTGTTAAAAAAAAAGCCTGGAGTACATACCTCATACACAGCCAAGTCAATGCCAGCATATGGAATGATGCCCATTGTATTGGGCAGGTATCCTCTGTAGAATGCTCGGATACCCTCAGTCTTCAGAATCTGTCTGGCACAGTCAGCCATACCTGAGTACTGTCCGGTCTTCCTTAATGTAAGGCGAGTTTTCAGCACCTATCCAGCATAGGGAATAGAAGAAAAAAACGCATACAAATCCAAAATTAACACAGGAGTAAGTAGAAACAGTAGCAAGAGGTTCTTCTTCAATGAGTCAAAGAAGGTAGAACTGGTCTATGGTTTCTTTAAACACCTATTTTCTAATTCTTCCACTGATACAGTTGTACTTTACGGTAGCATTTCTTCAGTTTAACTAAAGAAGCCTCTTAAATAAGAGGTGAAACGTCTTTTACCAAACATTTTTCTTCTTACTCTGAGCAGAAGCCAGATTTCCTATGCCATGCCTCTCCAGCTGCAAACAAAATACAGAGCTAGCCACCACTACCACCTTTAAGAGGGTTTGACTCCTCTTAACTACTTATGTCCAAACAATAATTTATAAGGGCTAAATGTGTGCTCTCTCCTTTAGCCAGGATCAACCATGGCAAACCCTCCTCGCAGTCTCCCCCATTTGATTGCATTAAGTGGGAGTTCCGTGTTTGATGGAAACACCCCGAAGCTCCCCTGACTTTGAGCATGATAGGCTGAAGCCCTGTTAAGCTCGATGTTAAGATGTTTAAGAATTTGGGAGAACAGATTAAAGAAAAAGTTTGAACGATTTTTGGTATATTAAAAATGGAAATAAACTGAGTAAGCCCACACATGTGCCCCTGCAGCACCATTACTCCAAATTCATGTAATGCCCTAAACTGTCAAATTTGGATGGACTACAACCTTTAATTGACCCTGAAAGAGGCTTCATGCCTATCCCTAAGACAGGGCCAGAGGATCGTGTGAAACTCTCCTGTGACTAAACTGAAGCTCAAAGGAAACATTAATGTTGATAGCACTTGATAGTACATCAGGAATCTGAGACTGAAGGGCTTCAAAAACAAAAAACATCTTCAAAGGCCTCCTTAAATACCCACAGAACTGACCCTTTGGACTTTGCAACAGAGCACCAAACATGGGACCAGAGGCGGTTTTAGATATGGGCAACATGGGCAGCTGCCCAGGGCAGCATTGTGGTGGGGGTTGCATCATGGCATTGGGGGGAAAAAAAAGTTGCTTGCACTCACGCTGCCCCGACATCATGCCAGCAAATTTTGGGGATGGCATAGGCACCGATTGGTTTTCTATTGCCCATTTGCAAGGAGTAAGGGCACCTCGTAAATGGAGGCGAGGGGTAGGACAGCAAGTGATTCTCTGGCTGGCTGGAGCAGCATCTAATAACAAGCTCACAAAATAAAAATAAATAAATATTTTAAAAAATAATAATAATAATCATTCGTAATATTGTCAATCCAAGCCCACTATGTATGAATTCTTTTTCCTGGGTTGTGTGGAATCCAAAAAAAACAAAAAACAACCTATAGAACCTGAATCTGTGCATAAGGTGTCTATTAGTGTATGTTGTGGGGTTTGGTTGTTGATACTGGAGTGCAAAATTACTGATGGAAGATTGACAAGAAAAGGTCAGAGCCATCAGGTCCTCAGTTTAGAAAAAAAAAGAAAAGAAGAGGAGAAACGAACAAAAGACACGGGTAAGCAGATGTGTCTTTGGATAATGGCAGGTATTATGTATCCTGAAACAAGATAACATTCATTAGTAGGTATTGGGAAAACTTCTGGTTGCCTTTGTTAGCCACTTGGCTATGATAGTAAACAGACAGTAGACACTGATGTGGTTTACTCAATCTTTTGGGCTGTGTTCAGTACAATATTAATTAGCCATTACTGGAGGAGCTGTATTGTTGATTTGTCTGCTATTCTCAATTTAAAATTCAACAACAGTTTTCACAATAAAATATGTTAAGTTACAATCTTTAATATGTTTGGTGTGTGTGACTGTGTGTCGGGTGGGGTGGGGGAAGAAGGTTTTATTCTGTGATGAGAAAAAATGTGACCTTGATGGTCCTGATGGTTTCCAATGTTACTGGCTTAACAAGCAGATCCCACCTGAGATATTCTCCACGCTCCACAGTGGAGGGGGTGCCATAATGGTCTGGGGTGCTACAATGCTACAGTACACAATGCCTGCAGGACAAGGGACTTCTTCCAGGAGAATGACATCACCTCTTTTGGAGCATCCTGCGTGTTCCCCTGATCTAAATCCAACTGAGAACCTTTGGGGATGGATGGCAAGGGAAGTTTACAAAAATGGACAACAGATCCAGACAGTAGATTCCTTTCAGATGGCCGTCTTTACCACTTGAAGAAATGTTCCCACTCACCTCATGGAAAAGCTTCCATCAAGCATGCCGCAAGGAATTTTTGAAGTGATCAACAATAATAGTGGAGCTACTCATTACTGAGCTCATGTTTGGAACATTGAACATCTATCTATCTATCTATCTATCTATCTATCTATCTATCTATCTATCTATCTATCTATCTATCTATCTATCTATCTATCTATCTATCTATCTATCTAAAAGAAACATATCTTCAAGAGGAAATGACTGACACAAATTTTAAACTCACCTCCATGGGATAGATGATAGTTTGGGCAGTAGCTCCTGCAAGCGACCCAGCAATGAACCTCTCTTGTACCCTTAAACTGCCCCCCTCTTTATTACCTCGGATCAGCCACTTGATCTGGAGTAGGAAGAGTGAGGAGCAGGAGGAGGGGAAACCACAAGCAATAAAAGATTTCAGAAGGACACAGAGTGGACTATTGTTTTTTCCCCACTGTAAACTAATATACAGTTACTACTTTTTCTACCACGAGTTAAGTAAACACTTAAGAGAACAGAAAACATAGTTCCACTTTCTCACTGTTTGTCCACTGACCTGTTCGTAGGCCATAAACTTAATGGCGGATTCAGGGGCAATTTTCAGGACGTTGATACCATTTCCCCTCCAGAGTGAAAGCACACCTCCCTCCTGGATCATCCCCCTCAGGCCAAACCACAGATTAATCTCTCGAGCTGTGGAGCCATGTACCTAAAAATTCAAATTATGACAGTAAAGCTGATTTTTCTTTTTTTACAATCTGTACTATGTTTTAAAAATACGCTGTTGGCCACCAACCAAATATGTTAGCGTGCTTATCCAACCCTAGTTGGGTATATAAGCAGAATACAAAGGTAAATATCTTCCTTATTAAGGCCATATAGATGTAAATGTTGCACACCAAAGATTCTTTTTTGTTTGGATCACAGTCAGCACTTGTTTTTGGTCTTTATACAGACTTTGGCTACAAAGTATCTGAAGTAAAAAAAGGAGCATTCATCTGAAGCTGTATTTAATCCCATGTGATAAATGTCTTTTAGCTCTGTTTCTGGTCTTCATCTGGCCCTGAGTAAATTTTACTTATGATATGAACTATGTTCACCAGACATTTTTAAGCAGTACCTCTCTGCTGTTTGCTGAAAACACTCTACACTGTGGATGACAATTATGTCATTAGCGGTGAAAAGTGGTGATGGTGTATGTTAAAGCGAATTGTTAAATGTTTTTATGCTTGCCATCTCTACATTGTTTCAAACTGTAGGATCAAAGACATTCCTTTGTCTCTGACCACCTCTCCAGACACTGGTTTTATTGTAGATACATGCTATCTGAAAGATCTGTTTGTTGCGTGGTAAGCTTCCTGCTTTTATGATCCTTTTGGGGAGCAGGAGAACACGCATACACACACACACATTCTCACATGCATGCACACACACACACTACGAGGAGGGCTGCTCTTTGAAGGAGTTGGGCTGGTGACAGGTGAGGAGCGTTAAGCTCCACAGCCTGGTTCCGATCAGCCTTCCCTTGCTAGAGAGTAAAAGACCGGTTGAAGATGTTCTGGCTTGTTTTTGTTCTTCATGAGGAATAAGTCTCTAAACTAGCGGGATCTGTGGAAGCGCAGACTCAACATTTATTTGGTCCTTTGAGCCAGATCCCAACACATTGCGTCCACCGAGGAGGAGGGAGATGACGCTGCCGAAGTCTGCTAGCAGCCAGCATCTGGGATGCCTGATGAAAGCCCTGGTGCTTAACTTTATCGCCAGGCTGGAGAGTTTGTGTCTGAACTCTCCTTGGGTTGGATGGCACTAGTGTCTTTTTTTTTTTTTTAATTTTTAAGGAGGGTTAAGCAGGTTTCCCATCGAAAGGAAGGTTTTTCTCCGCCTCTGAGGGCGTTGAGTGTTGGTTTCTCCAGCACTCAACGCTGGAGAAACCAGCACTTGTCAGAGCTCTTGTTGGTGCCTATTTTGTGTGTGCAGGCCAGACGTGGTCTGTGTGAGTCTGATTGTTGTTTTGTATGCAGTCACTTTTAAGCTGATGAGCAAGCTACACATTTTCAGAGCAGGAGCTGGTTGAACGCATCAGAGGGAGGGAAACAGAGCGATGATAACTCGAGCATGCAGCTGTCCGTGAGTTCAGTTTCTTCCTCACACCTCAGATGGGCAACAGCTTTTCTGCATCCTGATTCATGTGTGTGAGACCTTTGTAACATCAGTATCACGTTTTTTGTTTTGGCGAAAGGCACGTGATTGTGTTTGACATCATGGTGTGTGTGAGCCACAGAGAGGTGTGAAAGTATGTGAGTGAAGTGGTCTCGAACTGGGGAGTGTTTGGTGTTTCTCAGCCTGAAACAACTGCAATCCCACTTTCTGTTTTTAAGAAAGGAGAGTTCAAAAACAGAGAGATGTGTGTTGTTTATGCGGTGATGAGAATAATGAAAACTTGATGAGAGAGGTACATAAAAACCCACACAAACAGAAAATGTCTTAACCATACTAACCCTACATGCATATACACATACAATGACACTCATGAAGACCAGACAGCATCTAAGCATGAGATTCTGTTTGTCATCTTGTCCAAGTCACTAGCAGGCACGTGCAGAGGGGGGGGCTAGAGGGGCTTGAGCACCCGCCCCTTTCCTGATGGGTGCCAAAAGTGCCCTTTTGTTGAGGCAACTTTTTAAAAAAAAAAATTTATTATTTTTTAATGTGTGTGTGAGTGCGGAGTCCTGTCTGTGCCCCTCAACAATAATATTTAACTATTAATCACAGTTTTGCTAAATACAATCTTGCTTGCATCAGTCACATGATCACTATTAACCAATGATCGCCCTTGTCGGCAGAACGCGCTGGTTACGAGCCGGGAACGAGTTCACAAAGAGCACGCGCATTTGTTGCGGTCCAGAGCTGTAGGAGAAACACAAGTTAACTCAGAGACACAGACTGATGCGACAAAACTAGTAAGTAGGTGTACAGCGCACACTGTATTGTGTAGCACCCAGGAGTATTAGCTTATTATGTACACGTTGGTAGGCTGTCTTGTTGCAACTGACGAACTGAAACAAACCAGTGTGCTGTGTGCGCAACAGCGCGACAAACATTACCTGTCCTTTTATTAACTGCACAAGTAGTGCTGGTCATAGCTGCTGGCTACCGGTGTAAGGCTGTCATGGGTTTGTAGCTCTGTCACCGTTTTAGGGAACCTATTTAGTTTTAAAGTATTTAGAACATATTTAGTTTTAAAGTATTTAGAACATATTTAGTTTTAAAGTAAGTTTCCGGGCTTTTCCGGCCTTTCTGGAGGGATTATATTTCACTAAAAAACGATCTAATATGCACTTCCACATAATTATGCATTATTATAATTATAATATATTAAAAACACACGCTGTATTTTAAAGAACATACATTAAGAAGCAGATTATATTAGATTTATATTTTAAATAAGACAAAATTTGGATTTTACAGCAGTAAAATTATTGTATCTCTGCAGTTTAAAAATGTAATAAGCTTTGCCCTGCACAGAGTGGATAGTGAAACAAATGGAATCTTCATAATGACATTATTTCATATTTATTACTTCCCCCTCCTCTTTGCTTTATTATTGTAGCTCTAGTAATAAATAATAATGTAAGGATTCTGGATCAGCACCATGATGCCCATAGTATATACAGTATTCTGAAGAAGGTCTAAAATGTCACTGTGTGTGCGTGCATGTGTGTGTTTTATTTAGATGGATTTAAAAAAAAAATATTACTCATGATATAACATTGTCCAGACATGGCTGGTAAGGACATGAGGAGGAAACAGTAGGAGCTGTGTGAGGCTACTAAAGGCAGGGCTATAACATTTTTCTGTCATCATTTAGATTAAGTGCAAGAGTTGTTAGGTGTGGATAATTAGATTATAGTTTATTGCAATAGCAAGTTGTGCCTTGTTCTCAGATAGACAGCAAGTGGAGAGTGATATATGAAATGATGGGATGGAAGGAAGAAGAGAAGCAAAGAGTGATTCACAGGCAGAGCCTAAATTATTTCTCAGTTTTTTGTTGCCTTATGGTTCCAAGCGCTGTCACCAATCTTTGCATTTTGTTATTATCTCATGACACTTGTTTAATCAGCTACCATCTCTCCTATGGACTTTTTAATGTCTACAGTCTCAGATCAACACAGCCCTGCCCTCCAGCACTATCAGCAGCAGGAGCAGCAACCCCTCAACAGCAACATTGTACCCATCAGGTAAAGCATCGGCTACGTTTGCTTTGCCTTGTTGCCCATATTAGATTCTTGATGAATGTGTGTTGTTGTTATTCAGCCTGGTTCAATGTGCCCCATTTTAGCTTTGAGCACCCGCTTCTTTAAACCTCTCTGCACGGCCCTGGTCACTAGTAAGATGAAAGTGATACATAGTCTAGTGTCTAATATTATAGGAGGACAGATGATTGCATCATAGGGGTGGAAAACAGAATGCTGATGAGGGGTCATGAATGAGTGAGCTGAGTGAGCTGATTGTTGAGTTTCTGATGTATGAAGAAGTTTTAACATGGCGCACATTTGGTTACATGAGAAGAAACTTATTATGTGATGAGACAACAGGGTTACGCTGTATGTTGTGTGTGGTGTGGCTGATTGGATGAATGTTTGAGATTAAACTGGCTGATGATTTGTCTTTTGTTACAAAGTTGAGCCTGCCAATTAGGTTTGGTATGATTTACTGGGTGACCGACACCTGACCACCAGGATGATCCGTGTGTTTGGCTAATGCTCTTTCCTTTAAGAGTGCTTGTAAAGGATTCAACACAGACAGACAAGTGACAATTGAACAGATGTGCAGTGGTTACAGAATAGTTACATGGGGCTGATCACTATTGAGCTCATGGTGAGTGACAAATTTAAGGAAAGCCACTGATTACAATGTGGAATGAAGTTGAGATGTTCAATGATTTGGAGCAAATTACGGAAAAGGTAGGGGTTTAATGAGTTTAGAATAACCCTGCAACGGTACTTGTCTCTATGATGCTGAATACTTTATTACACTTATGAGCTACAGTTGGTTGCAAATGTGAAGTTGTTCTAGGATACAGGCTCCGGGTGGACCTGGGACTTAAATAAGCTTAACATTTAACCACTGACTAATGTTTTGACACAGGGTTACAGGTTTGGAGTGGAGCTACTCCAAGAGGGACCCTGGAGCCTGGAGAATATTTTTTTAGGGAGAATGTGCAACATTCTTGTACATGTCTCATTGTGTGGCAGTTGATACATGGCGAGAGCCGTGTGGCGAGAGGAGAGTCAATTTTTGATTTGCAGGTGTCATGAGGTGCCATGACGAGAAGGAGTGACTGAGGGGATCGTCCACAAGACGCCAGGCTTCAGGAGGATCAGAGATCATCTTCAGCACAGCAGACATCCCACAGAGACCTGTGCTACTGGGCTTCCAGAAGATTGTCATGAGGAGATTTTGAACAGCAAAATCTTAAATGAAGTGAAAGAGTTTCGACGTTGAGGAAGAGAACTAAGGTGTACGACGTGCTCTGCCTTAAATCGTCCGCGGCATTGGAACATGAGAACCTTAAGGTTGAAGGGAGCGTGCCAAGCTCCATCCGACGGGCAGGAAGAAGTTCAGCGATGGACTTGTGGTTCTGTGAAGAGCACGAATGCCAGGTGACAGTGGAATAACTAACAGCAGTAACTTACTATTCTAAAAGAT